AACACCATCATATGCAGATGTTTATGTTACTTTTTTGTAGCAGCTGCCTGCCAGTCAAGATGCCAGGAGGTACATGATGTGACCCACAAGTACGTAATGTTGCAGAGAAGAGCATTCAGTATGGGAAAAAGAAAACAAGACATTTATCTGTTAACACATCCAGAATTCAAAAGATGGGTGATGGGACAGCATTTCAAGACCAGGCACTAAAAGTTAAATTGAAGTTTTAGAAGTGATTCTTTGTGTTTGGCTTCAACACAATATGCTCACATTATTCATTTTTACATACTGCCTGATATTCATTACAGTCCGGGGTTCCCAGGAGTACACACGGCACAGCCAAAATGTGGCTAGCTGAAGTACAGCAGACCATAGGGGAAGATCTCTTGCCTACATTAATGTTTCTGCTCTGAAAAGCACTGGATAAAAGTATGTCACAGACTGCTGTTCAGCTGCTGATTTTGTGCAAAACATTGCAAATGAAAGATTGAAATATCAGCATTCTATGAATTTCAGACATGAGTATGTATGAGCTAGATTTGCAACGCATGTTTTAAAAACTGAAAAATTGTAATAGTGCATGTTGTAATGTAATGTAATTGTAATTGTAATGTTGTAATAGCTCATGTTGGGTTTATTTTGCTATACAAGATGCTCACAGGAGTAATCCCCTTTGATAGAGGTGATCATTTAGGTTTATTGGCATTTGTAAATAGTTCTGCTTTTCGTCTGAGTGTACCTCAAATTTATTAGAATGGAACTAACCGTATGCTCCCCACTATAATCACAGTTTTAGGCCATCCTCTTTTAAGGTAAGAAGACTATGTAGTACTTACATACTAGACAATTTTGAACACATCACAGACTTAGCACAGCGCATCCATGATGAAGGACAAAAATATCACGACTATAATCCTGATGATTAGGGAGTGGGAAAGTGGCTGTAGTCTGTGTTCGGAGCCTGGGGATGATAACTGGTACAATATTTCTTTATTGGCCTAATACTACTAATCATTTTTATTTTATGTATTCACTGTCTTAAAGCTGTATGCACAAAGGTAACTAACTCTGTTAGTTAGTCTCATTGTTTAGAACATAGTGGTGTGAAAATAAATATGTTCTAAAGGAGGGACTGAAGGAATGTTATAAAATTTATAAAAGCTAACAAAAACTGCTTGTCTTTTAGCTTCCGAAATGCTTATAACCCTAGCATATGGAAACATCAGTGGCAAAATACAGCTTATGTCTTAAATGTAGTAAAAAGGGAAATCAAATGTCTTGTTTTGCCAATGTAAGCAATAACAAAAGTCTTGGTGCAGGTGGATGCTGCACATTGGTGGTGGTGGAGGGGAGTCCCCATTACCTGTAAAGTGCTTTGAGTGGAGTGTCCAGAAAAGCACTATATAAGTGTAAGCAATTATTAATTATTATTATTATTAATAAGAAGTTGTTTTGCTGTACCCGATCTTGACTAAAAAACTAATGGTTCATTTTAGGGATTAGATAATCTATGTTAAAGGTTGGAAGTTTGTCTATCACTATGTATAAAAAGCACTGAGCAACGTCTTTTCGGAGAGACTTGCTTTTGCAAGCAGCTCTTCTGTGTGCACACGAATAAATAGCTTTTCTTTCACCAACATCATAATTCTGTCAATTTTCATTTTTCTACATAAGTGGACACTTATTTTATGGAGTGCAGGGCTGATGTTGAGCTGAACGTTGGGGTTAATGAGCATTAAATGAAAGCTCCTAGTCTCTTCTTTCATGTACATTTGGTTTTAAGCTTGTAGTATGCAGCGTTCTGGAACTATTAATGAAACAGGCCATCAATTTTGTCAATATTCCAAAATATTGGATACAAATTTCTATGGAGGTGGATATGATGCTGAGTTTTTAAACTGGGGATAATAGACATTAAATGAAAGCTCTGAGTCTCTGCTTTCTTGTGCATTTGGTTTTACGCTTGTGTGAACCGTTTTGGAGATATGAATGAAAATATGCCATCCATTTTGTGAATATTGAAAAATAAGGGACACATATTTTAGGGAGTGCAGGGCTGCTGCTGAGCTGAACTGTGGGGTTAATGGGCATTAAATGGAAGATCTTAGTCTCTTCTTTGACATACATTGGATTGGAGACAAGATCTCTAGTACCACGATACTGAACACCGGAACCCCGCAGGGCTTATACTATTGAGGGATCAAACATTTATTTTGATTACATATATACTAGTTTGCTTTTACTGTGTAAATAATGTACTAACATCATTTACTAAGTATCCTGCCAGAATAATGGAAAATGACTAACTGCAACTTAAGTGTGAGCTGGCTACGTGCCTGGAACATGAAGAGCAGAGCCAGCTTCGGGCAGCCTGACCAGAACTGAG